TCTCTGTGTTGTTAGCAGTACTTGAGTAAAATGTGACCATGAAATTGGGATTTTACCTTTTGTTTCTGATGTTTGGTACATTTATTTTGGCTTTCCCATTTTGAAAGCAGAAGAGCAGAGATAAGAGCCTGGAGATGTTCTATGTGATGTTGTGGCTAAAGTTTTTTTAATCTTATCCTGAAACATTTTGTAATGAAGTGTGTCTTTTGTTGTCTTTACTGATTGTTGAAAGGGTGTTTTAAACTGCAGTCAGCTATGATTTTAGGTAAAAGCACAAAGTAAAACAAAATAATTTTAAGTACAAAGCTGTAGTCAAGTGCATATGATTTACTGAGGATATATTCCTTCAACATAGTTAACACTCATTAATTTACCTGCTGCTGTTTCTGGTAGCAAGAAAGAATTCAGTACACTTTGTAACTCTCATCAACACAAAAGTTTGGGGAAATTGTTATATGCTACTGCCACTGGCAATCTGATCTGGCAATCACCTGCTCTGTTAATTGCTGAATTTAATTTGACTTGCAAAATAAAATTAATTTAGTCCTCTCTGGTTGGTGTAAAAACTCTGTACCTGTTCTGATCCGTGAGGAAGTGGATACAAACAGATCTGTCAGATGTGTCCATCCCACGGATGGAACTGTCTTCTGTAGTTCCAGTTCCTCCCAGCTGTGACCACTGCAGCCTTGCCAGCATATTCGGATTAAAAGCTGTCAGAAAATCACTGCTGGCTCTCTGAAAGAGAGGGAAGGGTGAGCCAGCATCACTCTCACTTAGTCTTCCTTACTTCTGGTAGTATTTTTTGTGAACCTTATTCAGCCCCAAAAATGAGAACATATGGTCTGCAGAGAACCTACAGAAACCAAATGATTTTATGTGTTACAGTGGAAATCAAGATCTGTAACTTTACAGATTGTACTGCAAGTTTATTTAAGATACTTTTTAGATATTTTTGAAAATGTAAATTTCTGCTAGGGTCCAGCATTTTCCTGTACATTTATATTGATTGCTTTTGTCTTTGGGAAGACAAAAGTGCAAAGTGCAACTGGACTCCAGTGGGAAGCAATTTTCTGTGCTTTACATCAGGTTCAGTTAGATTGTTAAAGAAAATGAAAATACACTGAAAATACAGAATGTTTGCCTCCTGAAATATTTCATCCACTGGTTATGTTTGCAAACTGAACATGTGGTAGGGAAAAGACAACCTAAACTACAGATAAGCCTGCCACTCCTTGCACTCTTCCCTTTAGCTTCAGGGATATCAGGTGTCCTTGTCATATGTACTGCTTGCAGAACCCCCTCATGGTAATGTATTAAGTTATTTTGCTAGTTGTGAACCCTTAGGGCCTTGCATTTTCTTAGTTAGCCCAATTCCACCTCAGTCTGGTTTCTTCCTTAGTGGAAAAAAGAGATACAGCTTATCTTCCATTTCATATGTGGCCTTGTTTGTCCTCCTTGTTTGTTCTAGTTGCTTTCACATACCTTTTCTAGGATGTTTAGGTTTACCTCCTAATTCTTTTGAAATCACTGCATCACAAACTGTGCTGTCTGTTTTGTTAGCAGTGCCTGTCAGAAGACTAAATAAATAAACATGCTGAATACTCATTTGTTTGGTACAGTAATTGCCAGAACTGTTTACAGAGATATTTACAGATGGTTTCTCGACACCATTTTGTCCCAGTCTAATTTTCCAGCGTTTCAAATACCAAGATAACATCACAACTCCTATCTGACAACAGTGGCTTCTTTCCTAATTCTTCTGATACAAAGATTGTTTTCATGAGGGTAAACGAAAAAAACCACCATACTAGTGATGAAACAGCCCCATCTCTTTCTCACCCTGATAGTAGCTGGACCATGGAGGTTAATCAACACAGAGCAGGATCAGACCTGACCTCAGTACTCCTTTTACTAAACCATTCTGGCATCTGTTTCTCTGCAGGTTACCTCTTCTTGTAGTGAGTTTGGCATGAACATATTGTTAAAATATTCTAGATATGAACTGGAACATTTCCTTTTTTTCCCCCTTACTTCCACAATAAGTATTCCTCAGTCCTCTTTCAGACAAGTCAGTGAAAGCTTTTAAAATGTGTTTTCTTGGAAGTGATGCACGATTCAAAGACAGTTTGCAGCATACATCTGTATTTAAGTGGTCTAATGCCACTAATGTCTGATGTCCCATGTTTGTTTTGGGATAGCAAAGGCATTTTAAATCTGTAGCTGGATGAATTTTCCTACTGAATATTCATATTTCTTCTTGAGCCAGTGTGATTGCCTGTTCTTCATTTCCCTAAGACAGATCTCGGGATGGGAGGGTAAAGTGAGTTCAGTTAACTGACGAGTCATCTGCCTACTGTGGTGCTTCTAACTCTTCTCACTGTAGCACATGGCTGCTCTCCTGCCCCTTTTTATTTGTCTGATCTGGCCCCTTTATAATGTCAACCCTTGTTAGTCTCTCTGAAGAGAATTAGGCTCGGCCTTGTAGTATTTCCAGCAACTTGCAAATGAAAAGTTTCACTTGCGTGAGGATTTTTACATCTTGGAAAGTAATGAGATAGAGATGATTCAGGCAATGAATAGATAATGCATAAAATATTTTTAATTAAAGACCACTTGACAGAGTATTTAACAATGAGTAGGAGATGTGCTCAGTCCGCTGGGTTATTTTCCAGGTAGTAGCTTCAAAATAGAACCTATTAATAGAAAGAAATAGGATAACTTTAAATATTACTGAAGAAATAGTAAATCTGCACTGAATTAGTTTGAATACAACTTTGCTCTGGTTGATCTAATAGACTTACTGATTTTGTTTTTCCTAATGAGTGCTGAGCAAAAATGTTCTTCCTTTATTATCATTGTTAGTTCCCTATTTATTTATTATTGCTATTTATTATCATTGCTATTACAAAATTGTATTTCACTTTCAAGAAGAGCAGACAGCACAGAGGGCAAAGAACTTGTTTGCCTGCCTTCACTGCTGTTTTCTGTTTTGAGTATTGCAGTGCTTTTTCTACTGACAGCTTAAGCAATACAAGGTTATTAGGAATTGGAAGCGATGCTAAAATCTGATGTGAAATGAGTAAAATTTTAAGTCAGTCTTACTCTTTAGTGAGTTGTCAGTGGTGCCAGATGTTGTGAATTAAAAGAGGGGATGAATCCCCCAGAGTTTCGTGCTATTTTAACATGCAAATTGACCAAGAGTAAAATGTTTATAGTTCAACAAGTATCAGGCTTACTTCACACATACAGTGAACTGGTTTACAAGTCACTTCTGAAGATAGTTTCTTCACACCAATTCCTTGCATTTTTTCTCAGAAGTGCCTCCAACAGCTGAAAGAGAAGGATACTAGTGGATTTGCAGAACACAGTGTTTGTTAGAATATTGTTTGAGATGCACAGTGTTCTTTGTTGTGGCCTGTAGTACATCTTCAAGAGAATATCTTAAGTCACAGTAACTTCTTTGGGGCTGGAGAAGTTCTCATCAGTCCTTTTACACAAATTTGGATGAGGATTGGTGATTGTTACCTCACAGCAAGTCCTTCAAACATCTGATTTCTTTTTTTGGGTGTTTTTTTTTTTTTTCCTGCTGCTTTTATTTGGTATTAAGAGATATAGTAGAATTAAGCAGCTGTGGTTAAAATAAACAAAGCGGATAAAGCTGCTTGAGGAAAATTGGCTCAGGAAAAAGGAGACAGATTAACAACACGTGACCAGCAGAGGTGCTTAGATTCCACAGTGGGTGCTAAGCATTGCAAATATATATTTGATGGAAGGACCAGAATCTGACTGTGCTCCTTGGGCCAGAAAGTGTCCATGAATAAGTAGTAGGGGCTTCCATCTCAGAAGAAAGTGCTGCAGGTGCATACCTCTGCATTTGTGCAAATATAGAACAAATGAATTTAGCATATGGTTTTAAACAGCCACACAGTTCTGTTTTAAGAAGATTTTAATGCAGTTTCTCAAAAACCAGAGCACTGAGGGAACTCAACTGATCATGATTACATTTGTTTTCCTCTCTACTCTCAACGGAATAAAATATGATTTCCTGTCTTCTCTGATACATTTCTCTTTGTGGGCTGGAATTTGGACTGTTTGTTACTCTGAAAACTATTGGTAAAACTGTCTCTTCCTGTTGACATCTATGAAAATCGTTGAAAAGTTTCCTTCTAGCTTTCAAAGCCTTGAGTGCTGGTGAATCAAGTGGTTTTGGAAAGAGGTCTTAGTAATGAGGCAAACCAAATTTATTAGCCAAATCATGGTTGCTGCCATGTACAAGTCTTGTACTTTGTTATGCTTACTGAGGGATTAGTAATTGCAGTTAAATATTCTTCAAATTTTTCTAAGAACTGGGAGAGCAAAATTCAGCTCTCTTTCTGTTCTGCAGGTCTCATGGGATGAAATAGCAACACACATTTGTTTTTGCACTCAAACTCAGATCTGAGAGTTTCTGTGGAGCAATGAATTCAGATGATCTCTCTGTCCAGCTTGTTTTCAGATTGGATTTTCTTTTCAAATGAAATTAACTGTATGGAAATGAATAGGAAAATAAAATAAATAATTTTAAAATCATTGCAGATTTCCATTTTGTAATTAATGTTCTTACATAGGGAAGAGCCCTAAACTTACATCTCCTGACAAGCTGCTTCAAAAAGTGGTGCATTAAGAGACAGCATTGTAATTTGCTGCCTGTTTTCAGTTTGAAGTCTATAGATAGGGTCATTTGCAGGAATTAAAGAGAGACTGTGTTTAATCCCCAAACTTTGCATTTCAGAAAGATATCTTTTCAGTTACGTGTGTTTAGGAAATAGGGCTTAATGCTCAGAAGTGCTTTGTTAGGCTGATGGATTCTCATTCATTATGATGAATTGCTTAGAGAATTTTTCAGCTCTTATCCCCATGCTTACTAATGAGAAAACGGTTTAATGTGAAGATTATGTATAATGCTTTGTTACTATATTTTAAATGAGTTGTTATTATTGTCAGTCTGTTACCAAGGACAGCCACAAGTCCTTTATGGGCTTTATGAATTATTTAGCCTTTGAAAATTATACAGCCTTTATGGATTTTATGTTAAATATCCTTCCAATCAGGTTTCCTCTGTGAAGTGACTGCATAATTCCTTCTTCTATGCTAGTTATTCTTTGGATTTTATATATTTTGTCTTTGACCTTTTGAACTCTCTTTTGTCTTTGATGTTTTTCCATCCAGCAAATGAGTGGTTAGGGCCCTGCCAGCCCTTCAGGATTTCAGGAGTTGTGGTATTTGATGTATAATGTTTATTTTTTTTTTAATCTAATACTAGTTTCGAAGTTCTGCCTCCATTCTCCTTCTTGCCCTCTGAGTTTAACTATCACTTAACTGTGTTGTACACATTTTAATCTTTCTTCATGTATCACCTCTGAATCCTCTTCAAATGTTCAGTCTTTTTTGCCTACTGCATTTTGGGTGCAGTGACTTATATACAAAAATATGATAATGCTGACATTGGCCACAACTAAATCTGACCTCTCACAGCTGCAGGCAGAGACAATTTTGGGTTTTTTTTGCTCTGTTGTCTTTGTGCATGCCACTCAAAGTAGCTGTGAAGTTTTGGGAGAAGAGCTACTGCAGTCCAAAGTAATGCCTCATTTGTTTTGACACTTTGCTTTTTTACATCAGCTTTTCCCAAATCATTTTACAGGAAGCCTGTATTTGGGAATTTCATTCGACAGGTTATGTTCTTTTAAATTAATCCTTTATTTCCTTTCTACTGCTGCATTTCTCCACACTTAGTTTTAAATACTGACAATTTATCACCTAGAAATTTAATGAAGGAGGTGTTTATCCCCAAATTATTAATGGCAATCATTAGAAAATCAGGGCTGTGCTTGTCTTGGACACAAGCTGTGAATAATTGAGTGGGTTTATTCCTTACCTGTTCAGGCAGACACTGGGTACTGGAGGGGGAAAAAGGATGGATTTGTGTGCATAGTGAAGAATACATCTGGAATATAGCTATTAATTGATATCTGAGAGCTTATCTCCTAACAGAATAATGGAAGAGGTAGAAAGGGACATGTTGATATCATAGCATCTGCTGTCCCTTGCTTGAGCAGAGTCAGCTAGAACAGAGAGTGTAGACACTCTCTAGTTTACAGACAGACTGTAGAGTATCTAGTCAGGTTTGGAGTATCTCCACTGACTGAAGCTTCCCAGCCTCTCTGGAAACATTACTTCAGTGTTTGGTCTCCTTCACAGGTCTTGCATCGAATTTTGTGTCTTAATTTGTGGTTCTCTTGTCATGTCACTGGCTACTCCTAAGAGGAGAGCAGCTCCCTGTTCTTCAGTGCCTTTTATCAGGTATTTATACAGATCAGTAAGAACCTCCTGAGCCTCCTCTTCTTGAGGACAAACAGCCACAGCCCTCTCAGCCTCTTCAGAGGCTCCTTTTCCTTACTGGTATTCACCAATGTCTGTCTTGTATTGGGGAGCCCAGAACTGGATAAGCCATTTCAGTTGTGCTGAATTCACTGATTTTGAGTAGGGGGAAAGGATAGCACTCAAAACTGCCAGACACATTCTTCCTAGTGCAGCCCTGGGTGCTGTAGGCATTCTTTGCTTTGAGGTTTCATTGCTGGCTTCTGATGAGCTTGTCATTCCTCCCCAGGTGCAGGACTCTGCATTCCACCTTGTTGAATTACCTACAATGTCCTCTCTGCCTGATTCTTCATCCAGTCCAGGTCTCTGTGAGGGGCAGCTTTGCCAACTGCTGTCAGCTACTCAAGTTTATCTACAAATTTGCTGAGGGAACACTCTGTCCCCTTGTCCAGGTCGTTAATGAAGAGGTGAAACAGCATTGGCCCAGTAGGCAGGGTCTGTAACTCCTGGGCACATCACACCATGTCTATGTCCATCATCCTTTTGCTCCCTTTCCACCTTCTTGAAGTCTTCCCCCACTTCAGACATGTCAGGGCTTGTTCTGCAGTGGGACAAAGTGGGGGACAACAAAACAGCCTTTTACTGTTGTTTATGTTTGTACTTGAATTATTTATCCCATTAGCTCTTACTAAAGAATATTTTGTCCATTTTATAACTGTTTTCAGCCAATTACAGAGCAGTGGCACTTGTTAAATGTAAACAAAATGGCAACTCCCTGCTGTAAAATGTACAAGCATTGGAGACACACATAGGTGTGCTGATTCCCTAGCATGGCAAGAGTTCTCCCCATAGGGCTTCCACAGGAAGAAGATTTCATGTGTTCATTAGAAATGACATGGTTTTGTATTTTTCACAAATTAGGAAGAACATGGCAGCTGAGGAAATTATAAAATCATAGAAATGTTGCTTGACAGGAATCTCTACAAGTCATACCAAGTGGTGCTGCTGCTAGTGCTAGCTCAGGTCAACCATGACTGCCTGTAGCAAAGCATTGAAAACTTCTGTGACTGGAGATTTTGACACCTTCTTGTTAACTTCTTCCAGTGCTGTACTAATTTCTCAGTGAAAGTTTCTCCTAAAGTGAACCTGAAGTACCCGAGCTGCCCTTCAAATAAATAAAGAGAAGTTTAAGCTGTCCTTGACAAACCAAGCAAATCTAGATCTTGTAATTTCCTTTTACAGAACACGTCCTTTATCAAAAACTCCAGAGTGACTAGGGAAGAGCATCCAAGCCAAAGCTTAAGGCTTCTGGCTGCATGTCTGCACATTTCAAAAACACAGACTGATAAAAGTGTCAATTTAATGCTCCTCAGGATAGCTTTCCCTCTGCTTGCCCCACAGAAGATCACATTGTCTGATGTCTCACTTGAGTTTGTCAGGACCATCCCAGGAGTACTTTTTGGGGGAATGGCTCTAGGAAGATGATAAATACTTCCTCTGGCTGATGGATTAAGGAAACTCAGCATTTGCACAAGTTCCAGTTCTGTACAGTTCTATTCCAGTTCTTTTACACAAAGATTGTCAGTACAGCTGTTACAGAACTAGACTCAAGACATCAAAATGATTCCCTTGTCTTCCATCAGTGCCCAGTTCATAGGAATGTTGTAGAGGAGTTCAAATTGGCCACATTGTTATGGCAGTAGCACTAACAGGTTTTATGTGAGTATGTTCACCTACTTCTATACTCTATTCTCATTTTTTAGTCTATGACTGAAGAACTTTTCAGGTTTTGGTGTCCTTGCTGTATTTTAGATCATATTTAGAAGATGATCTTGCTTTGCAAGAGACCTCTGAGATTGTCAGCTGTTAAGTCCCAGTTTTGATTAATCCTGTGGATTATCTAGACAGTGCAAGAAAATTTATCTAATCTTACCTGAAAATCTCCTTTAAGCACCAGTCCTTTCTAGAGATGGATTAACCACCCAAATCCAGAGTTGGCAATTGGCATCCAAAAACTCAATTTGCAGAAAACCTATCTCTGTTCTGGAGTGTGTTTTGAAGTGGTGGAAACCATGTAGTTCTCATCCCTGCCTCCTTCTAGAGCAGTGATTCTGATCTGTAATACATTAAGATGCCATAAATTAAGAAGAGGGGAAAATACACCCCCCCACCTCCCTCCAAACACACAAAGCCCCCGAAACCCCAGGATCAGAGTGAGAAGACTTTGCTGCTCCATAAGGGCCATTGCCTTCCTTATCTCACCTGCACACTGACTGGTCTGAGAGTCAGCTAGAGAAATGGTGGAAAATCTCTTTGTCTTGAAAAGAAAACCTGATATAGGTCACTTTTATCTTGTGGAACTTACCAAACAGAAGGATAATATTACTGGCAGTTTTTCCAAAGTGTTGTGGACTCCAAGAAAGGGGATGGTTTTAAGAGCCACCTGGACACTGAAAAACCTTTCTGTGCTAGGATTTGGTGGTACATTCTGCTTGTCCTTGTGGCTTATTCATGCTTGTCCTTTTGGTATAGGTCATCTTCTTGACTTTCTGTTTCAACAGAAGTCTGTCAAAACCTAATTCAGAGTGTCTTTTTGTCACTGTAGTTGTCCTGAAATCAGTTCCAGCACTGATGCTTTTTTTTGCAGTCATGATGTCAGTATTTCCTTGTAACAAACCTCCTATGCTTTTTGCCATTTTGTGGAGCCATATTTAAGCTGTACCATATATTTTTCATTTATCATTTTTGCTTCAGGCAAGATCTCCTCTTTTAACACAGCACAGAGGAAGGTGGGAAGCTTTCTGTTTTCTGTAAGTGGGCCACAGTTGGCCCAGGTCATGTTATTCGAGGTGGAGTACAAACTGAGACGCTTGCTTCTTTTTGTCTCTCGTGGTTGGCTCTCATTATTTGGTTTCAGAATGTCTCTGTTCTATTCCAAGTGTGTTAAGAGCTCTCCTGGTGTTTAAGCAGCACTAGAAAGTCTGATATCAAGAACAAACTCTCTCTCTCACATACACCTATTTGTGCAGCTTTTCCATCATGCATTCTTTGCATGGGATGGAATAACTGCAAAAGTCAACAAGAATATGGCCTCATCCCTTTTCCTCTTGGTAGTGCCTCCCTTATTAGATTCCTTTTTCTGATGCTGTTCAACAACTTCAAGGGCAAGTCTATCAATATTTTTCAATTAATAAACGTTACCAGAATGTCATTTCCTACCCCTTCTTTACCCAGCTTGTTGCCACTTGGTAGTTTTGCTGGATTCTGCACACACTATCTTACTCTGAGAAGCACGAAATGTCATTATTTGTGCAAATGCTAAGAAACCACAAATGCTATTACCAATATCAAAAATTATCTAGTCCTTACTGACAGTTGTGGGCACAATACTTGATTCTTGTAATCACCTGTGGCATAATTCATCAATTTACTTCTCAGTTGTGTGAAGCAAAATGTACTACATATGCTTGCTAATATTCCCATTGTTCCTATTATTGGAAAGGACTGAGACACAGAGGCTGCTGGGTTTTCTGACTGACCTCTAGAGTTGTGAACATTTCATTCATATCCTGTCTAATAATTCCACCCAGCCTAGATAATCCTGTGCACAATCTCCTTCTCTACAATATGTCAGTCTTGGCATACCTCTGACCATCTGTGTTGTCCTTTCCTGGGTCTTGTAAACTCTTCCTAGATCTTTTTATGGTTAAGGAAGCTAAACTTGGGTATGGTGCTCTATTGTGAAAGATTGTATTGTTGTATTAGTTCACATAATGCTCAAAAATGCAGAATAAAATAAATGAGCTCCTTTCCTATTCTGGTGATAGCACTTGTCAGGGAAAGGCTTGTTCTGGAGTTTCTTTCTCTCTGAGTTTATCTGGAGTTCTAATTTCTCTCGAAGAATTTGAGACTCTTAATATTTCCTAGAATGCTTTATGTTTTCTGGACACAGTGATGAAGACAGATAGATGTTGAGGTAGTGAAGAGAATTCAAAGTGTGGGAGAATCTGTGAGGAACGTTGGTGTTCCTTTTGCTTTTAATCTCAAAATATGTGTACCATAGCCTGGATAAATTGCCCTATAAGTAAAAGTGACTGACTTTATGATAGTGTTCTGCAGTGACATAAACACTAGGGGAAGGAGAGATTTGATGGTTGCCTAGAGGATGATGATTTCTAATCATGAGAGGGAAACGAGCCAACATTTTTTGAGAAGAAAAATCCAGTGAAATTTATTACTCTGTTGAACCATTTCTCTGGGGAAGGAATATCAGTGCCATCACTCTCACACAATTAAATTCCAAGCAGCATATATTATTTAATTATATGGTGAAAAAGAATTAATAAGATGACTTGATATATACTTGCTGCTTTCACACTCCAAGATTCAGTTGTTCCTAAGAGAAATAGGTGGATCCTGTGAGAATAAATAGTTATCAGAGCATTTTTGTAGTGTTCACATTGTATAAAAAATGAGACTGGTATAGAATAAAGTGTCAGTGAAAGGTATTTTATTGCTAGAATCCTAGCCAGCATTGATTGGTATGGTTTTATGCAATTAAGTCCCATGCCAGTGGAATTATTAGGGATTTTTATAAAGAAGCACAGTGAAAAAAGCATTTGTCATGGGACAATATGTTTAAAGCATAAATTTTAGCATCAGCAGTACTGCTGTGCAGTAGAATGGCAGAGAGAAAAACTGAAGAAAGCACAAAAAATCGAGGAGCTGTGGAGAGAAGAAACATGAAATTTGTCTTAAACTTTTAGTGCTATTTGGTATGGGATGCCACCTTGTGGAAGTTTTTAGGTCGGCATGTCTTTTACAAAATCTCTGACTTTTTACTCTCTTCAGGCACTAGAGAATCCCAATTGCATGGATCAGCCTTTAACAGCCACTCTATCACCTGATGTTTTATGTAATCTGAACTTTCAGTGTTATTTAGGGGTGAAGAAGTCTTACTTTGGGAGGTAGAAAGTATGTGAAAAGAAGTTTCCTTAGGTTTGGAGTGAGCTGTTTGGAGAGCGTGACCAGTGCAGATGCTGTTGTGTGATTGTGGTACTGCTCTCTTGCATGTTGTCAGACAGCTCTGAATGGAACTGGAATCACATTGTGCATTTTTGGTGTGTTAGCTCAATCACTACAACAGTTGGAAAGAAAATACTCCATTACTCTCTTCAGCAGGACTTTAGAATTACAGGAAGAATTAGCAAATGTGGGTATGTCTGTAGTCTCAGTCAGCTGACATTCCACTTCATCTCACATTGTAAAGGACTCTTCTTCTGGTGTGCTCCTGTGTCTGGGCATTCTTCTCTATAGTGGTCTGGCACAGCACAGGTGTGTTGCAAACCCACCAGACTTTTTCTGCAAACATTTCACATCAAGTGTCAATGCTTCTTCCCTGTTCAAGGCATTGTGGAAAGGGGA